GAGGCCTGGGGGAGCCGCCCCTCCCCGCCTCATTGTTCCCGCAGCCCCGGGCTCGGAGGAGGGATGAAGGCCAGTCAAAGGGAAGCGGGCTCGCGGCGGCTTCATTAACGGCGGCCTTTCAGCGACGCGCATATCAGAGACAGGCCTTTTCAGAGGTGCTAATTAGCAATTTGGAGCCTTCCCCCCTCTGGAGAGGAGCCTTCAATCTAACAAGTGGGAACAGCGCTGCGCCCCGTTTTCCTTGCATTGAACATTTATTGTTTCCCATTCTCCCTCTCCTTCTCTTCCCCCGCCCAACCCGCCGCATTGTCCAGCTCATCGCCACCAGATAAGGCTGATGGGGGGAGGGGTAGCATCATTAATCACTCTTAATTCTTTGCTAATGATAACTTTCTCTCTCGCACTGAGAGAAGTTAATCTTTCTTAGATGCTGAGAGAAAGAGGAGAGCTGGGACCGGGTGCGGGTGAACACGGAAGGGTGGAGATGACAAAAAAGACTATAATCCCCTTCCCCCACCCAATTCCCCAATTTTCCCTCCTAACTTGTGTCATTACAATTCGATACGCTCATTCTTTCAGTCCCCTCTACCCTGCAGCAGCCTTTCTCAGCCGATAGAAATTGAACTTACTCTTAAAAGTTCAGCTCAGATGCCACCTCCTCTGTGAAGCCAACCCTGATTGTCCTGTCCAGCCAGAATTTCCCTCCCTCCTCCTTCTGAAATATCATAGCACTTCACACACCACTCTTATGGTGAATTCTGCCCATGTTATGGTTGTTTACAACTCCAGTGTAGAGACCACAAAATCTGAAATATTTAGATCGGTGGTTCTCAACCTTCCTAATGCCGCGACCCTTTAATACAGTTCCTCATGTTGTGGTGACCCCCAACCATAAAATTATTTTCGTTGCTACTTCATAACTGTAATTTTGCTACTGTTATGAATCGTAATGTAAATATCTGATATGCAGGATGTATTTTCATTGTTACAAATTGAACATAATTAAAGCATAGTGATTAATCACAAAAACAATATGTAATTATATATGTGTTTTCCGATGGTCTTAGGCGACCCCTGTGAAAGGGTCGTTCGACCCCCAAAGGGGTTGCGACCCACAGGTTGAGAACCGCTGATCTAGGCGCTAGAGAAAAACTGACTCAAAACAATAAGTCTACAAATATCTTCCATGATATTCACAAATCAATGAAATTCATAACTCCTGTGTAAATATACACACGTCCAGTGGCCCAATAGACAACCACTCAATGCCTTTGTAAACTAGGGAGAATGCTACCCATTTCCTACAACACTGACACACCGAGTTCTCCTGCTAGACCTTCTGATGAGGATGAAGATAATCTTAGAACCACACCTTAGCTAGGAAAAACTTGTATTCAAACTATAAAGCACTCTTACCTCATTTGGTTTATTTTAATTTTTTAAAAAAATATATTTTTATTGATTTCAGAGAGAAAGGGAGAGGGAAAGAGAGATAGAAACACCAATGATGAGAAAGAATCATTGACTGGCTGCCTCCTGCACGCACCACACGGGGATTGAGCCCACAACCTGGGCATGTGCCGTGACCGGGAATCGGACCATGACCTCCTGGTTCATAGGTTGACGCTCAACCAGTGAGTCATGCCGGCTGGGCTGAGGGCATTATTTTCTAATCTTAAGTGTCATAACAGCTAAAGGTTTTCATACTAGCTGGTCAATTTTTTTAACAGACTTTTTAAAAGCGGCTTTAGGTTCACAGCAAAATGAGCACAAAGGACAGAGGTCTTCCTAATGACCCTGTCCCCGCATATGGACAGCCTCTTCAATTGGTCAATTTTTAAAAAGCAAAACATATTTTCTCTGGAAAAAAATCAAAACATCATCTTAGAAAAAATAATTTCGCATTTGCAACAGCAAAGGTGAGGTTCCACTGTTGTATGCATTTTCACTAATACATGAGGAAAGGAGTTAAATACTTACCATGTAGCATCCAATAAGGAAAGCAGCATTTGCTTGTTTTTTCTGATCAGAGCCAGTAAAATGAACAATTTTCTTCCTTATCATTGTAATGGACTGCATAAAGATACACAACTGTTAGTGTGTTGTTTCATAATTGCAAGTTTTCTAAAACTTTATTTTGTGATGAAGATAAATTCCAAATCTTAGCATTCATATTAGCAAGACCTTTAAAAATACTAACTTTGATACCCCAAAGTACCGAGTACCTTCTCATAAAAGGCATTCTTGGGTTAGAAGAAACGCACAGTTAAAGAAGAGGGAAGGAGACAGGAACAGATATAAAGTATAGACTACCTCTGACAGAATAAATAAGAAGCAAGGGGGAGGGTGGGGCCAACTGTTTGACTTAAAAAACAACAACAAACCTATTCCCAAGACCTTTAAATTAAAGTAAAAGGGTATATAAAACCGGGCAAAAGGAATTCTTTCTGTTAAAAAAAAAAGAGGGCGGGGTGAGGAGGCCAGAGACGCCCAGAGAGCGTGGGTGGGCTCCTGAGCGGTGCTGTTAGCGCCCTGCCCCTGATCTGATGATCAAGAGGACGCCCATGTATATGCAGTTTGTGAAAATTCACTGAACTGTACCCTCATGATCTGTACACATTTCTGCACATACACTGTACTTCAATCAAAGTTAAAAATGAAAAGGGTATCAAAGTTAAAACCCAGAGGAACACATGCTGAGTTAGCACTTCAGCACCTGAACTTCAATAACGTGGGTGGGCATGGATTCGGGTGAGGGTGGGGCCAGGACACATGCACTTCAGTGAGCTCGCACCCCCCCCCCCCCCCCCCCCCCCCAGAGGGGAGTCAGGGATGGATGTGAGCGTATGTTCCTGTAGTTGTTTACGTGGAGTGAGAGAGCCAGGTTGATTTTCAAAACGGAAACAAATCCAACCAGCCATAGAGCAGCACAAGCACAGGGGGCTCTTAATTCAAACTCTCAACACAGTTTTATCACTACTAATTGAATAGGCTGTAATGTTTTGACCAGTTTGGATGCTCAACACTCTACAAGTTGTGCTGGTAAATGATAAAACGTTAAAAGGGGGCGGGGGGGGAGGAGAGGGGGACCAATACATTCTTAGTTGACCCGAAGGATACAAGTCCATAGATGGCCGAGTGTGGGGAAAAAATTCTTTCAAAATTAAAGCAAAGGAACACAAGTGGGGGGAGAGGACATTATTGTTAGCTTCATAGCCCTGCATGAAACAAAAAGCCTGCCGCTGACAACTGGAAAAGGGAGGGGAGATGGGGAGACATGAATACGTAAGACCATAAATGCTTATATTCCTATTTAAGAGAAAAAGCCCAGAAAGAAGAGTCTCCATCTCTATACAAATTGGCAGTGAACACACATATAATACAAAAAGAAAAGGCAATGCTACAACTTCCACTTTACAGATTAGTAGCTCAGCTGACAGGTGCTTCTAACATTTATGATGTGAAATTTTAGGTTTGACACTCAAGCAAGAAACACCTGCCTTACCCATAAATTTTTAACATAATTTCATTTTACTTGAAAATAATGTTAATTCTTCTGTGTAGTAGACTGGTAAATCATTCAGTAGACTGAATAAAGTTGTTTTTAAAAAGGATCTGTCCCCAAATCCAGTACTTTTGAGTTGAGAATTTATAATGACTCATTAGGAACTGCTAGCAGTATATACACTTCCCATTGTGCATGACCAATCATTCCAGGTTTTTAAAATAAATGGGTGGGGTCTGACGCTTACAGAAATACACTGTGCAGCACTCAGTGACAGCCTCAAAGACAGCTGTTTGCCCTTGCTTTCCCTGCTCCCGAATCGCATGTGTAAAAGGTCAAGGTGAAGTCACAAGTAGTACAACATCAGGGGAGAGTCAAGGCAGAATGAGAGACAGGAGAGGGGCAGAGTCTTCTCTGTTTGCTAGCACTCCCTCCTATCAAAGCGAAGGCAGAAGAACAATGACCACAGCAAGGGACGTTTCTCTTGTGAGGTTTCAGTTCCATTAGGTCAGACAGTAAGAGGTTTACTTTATTAAACCGTTTCCACATTGGATTTCAAGTATTTGAACATCATTAATCCAAGCCAGAATCAAACGACCCAAACTCACACTGCTCAATCAAAACTTTGGAAAACTAACATATACACTATGCCTTTATAAAACAAGAAAACCACAAGTATGCCCCAAACACCACTGCAGTAAAAACACGGCATTTCCTTTTTAAAACAGATGTGCTTTCTTTACTTTCCCCTCCCCAAGCCCAGGCTAACAATGATTAAGTCAAATCTTATGTAAAAAAAAGACTTTACCTTTAATTTCTTATTTATCTTGCAACAATATCTGTAAAGCATTGCCAGATTGAGTGGTCCAAAATCTGCGTAGAAGCTTTAAAAGTAAAACACAAAAACGTATACGTATATTCTAGATGCCCTGAATATTAATGCCTTTTTGGAGCTACAAGATCAAATTCAGACAAGAAAGCATACACCAAACTGTTATCAGTCACACTGCCTTAAGAAGTGGAAGAGATATTCTGGTAAATAATGCCTATTAAAAAAATGGTTCAACACCTATAACCTCAAATAATATATGAAAATGCTTTCTGAATTAAAAAAAAAAAGCTGTTTTTCCACTGGTAAAGACACATCTTAATACATTAGCTTATATTTCATTGTACTGTAAACTATTAGCATTTCAAATATAAGTTATTAAATTTAGAAAGATTCTTCCATTTTGAGTTTTTCCCCAAGGATCTACTTTATTACTAAAGGTTAAAAGAAAATTAAAGGAAAAACATCCTGCAATTATCAGTCAACAGATTTGTAATCTTCCAAGGTTATCCTATTTATAAACATACCTTTAGATTCTTCAAAAAAAAAAAAGTTACTAACAATCTTTTAAAAACCAATACTTACTTCTCATATTCAAGTTCATTATCTATGGTGAAATAATGTACATTTGATGAACTCTTTGGTCTGCTGCAGAGAATGGCAAAACAAAGGCGATCTGAAATGGAAAAATTGCAATGTTCCTTCCTTCAGGTTATTTTTAAAATTTTCATATATCATGATACAACTCTTTTCAGATGAAGTCAGATTTTTATTTTTTCCATACAGGTTCCTGATGGTAAGGATGCCAACAGATACTTCCAAAAGGTTCTATTTTGATGAGTGAAAATAAATAAGACTATTTTTGAAAGGAGCAATTGCCTTTAACCATAAGTTTCAATAAAGACAAGTGACTTTTCACGTAGCAGTATGGCTTGATTTCTGGAGGAAACTCTCATGCAAAACTTTACTTCCTCTGTACTAAGAAATCTGAACAAATGGCAGTGTGCACTTGATGGCTAGCCAGCAACCAGGTGGCTTTCGCTATGCATCACTATGTTTTCATGACATCCTAAGAGTCATTCAATAAGAAACCATATTTTAAGTAAAGAACGCTTTCAAAACTGCTTCAAAATTAAGGTTTAAGGCTATAGAACATCAGCAACAAAATGAACCAGATGTTTATCCAACTGTTCTTAGGGATCACTACTACTTTTGTAGTGACGTTTACAATTAGACAAATTACCATTGCAACAGAAGCAATGAGAGGTATCTGCATGATGAGTGCGCCATGAACTTGTGTTGCATAAACGCAATTAGGCAGCCATGAGGTGAGGGTTTAGAAAGAATGGTAACTGGTGCTAATAATGTTCTGAGGCTCCAACCTTCCTCCCCCACTTTAACCCAGAAAAAGTTGCCTAAAAATCCTGGCAAAGCAGTTACCTGCAATACCCAGTTGTAGCAATACTAGCAGTGCTAGTAGATATACTTACACTTAAATTGTAGCAAAATCAAGTCCAGCCTTTAAAATAGTAAGAAAAAAGGACGCCAGCTGGCATCCTTTGCCCAAATGGTAATTGTCAGCGATTCAACTCACGCAATGGCTGTATTTATTTCCTTGTAAACTGCTCAGCTAAAATGTCTTGCAACCACAAACACTCAGAAGGATGACGGGCTTACTCTTTGCCAGCCACAAATGACCCTTGATCCCCGTGCAGTGACCACAGATTTTGCTCCCTTGGGTGGAGACGCAAGTCACCTACCAGCCAGGGGCTTCCCACGGCACAGGTCTGTTCACAGTCACCCCAAATCAAGAGCGCGCGAGGGGCTAGGAGTCCGGAAGGCCACCCACGCCCATGAGACAGCGCTGGCCCCGGCCCGCCCGGAAAGTTGAAGGCACCTCCTGGCCAGCAATCGGGCCTCCCCCATCTCCGGCCCCGCCTCATGCCACCTACATACGGCGTCCCCGGGGCGCCCCGTCCCTCCGCACTCACCTTTGATCACCTCGGCCACCCGCCGGGTCCCCGAGCCCTCCCGGCTCATGACTCCAAAGCATCTGGAAGGCGGGGCGGAGGGAGGGAGGGAGGGGCCGGGCCGCAGACAGAGGAGGAGCCGCGACCACACCCCCGAAGTTTAAAAAACAAAGTTTAAAGGGCCGGGCCCCAGCCGGGGGAATGGTGTCGCCTTCGGGCCACCGACTCCACAGCATAGCGGGGCGTCACCCCGGAAGTTCAAAGCTTCTCGAAGGGCCGCAGCGGGGCA